GATTTGTTTTAATCCGTATGCACTTATTACTTATAAAAAAAACTAATTTCACAACAGACTGGGGTTGTGGCTTAGTGGTAGAACACTTGCCTAGCACATATGAGGCCCTGGGTTCAATCCTTAGCATCACCAAAAAATAAATAAAGTATTGTGTCCAACTACAGCTAAAAAAAAAATTTTTTTAAACTAATTTCACATATTTTTCAAAATTTAATTAAGCATGTCTTTCATTAAAAATATCTTTCTAAAATAATTGTGTGTATATGTGCATATGTTAGTGGACATTAAATCTAAGAGCAATATTATCCCCAGCACTTTTATTTTTTTATTTTCAGACAACAGTCACATTAAATTGCCCAGGCTGTACCCAAACTTACAGTCCTCTTGTCTCAGCCTCCCAAATCACTGAAGTTACAGGCATGTGCCTCCAAGCATGGCCTAAAACACTTCTCCCCTACTGCCCCACCTGTATCTCTGCCTAATTTTCCCTTCACAGCATAGCCAAAATTTTTGGAAGAGTTTTCAGCACTTCCTGTCTGTGTTCCTTACATGTTTCTTGTCGCTTCAAAATCTGTTTTTGCCACTCTCTAATGATGTGCAAAAGTCTATAGGAACATTCTCTGTCCTGATCAAACTGTCCTTGACCTCAACAACCCTGGAAACTATATTTGGTCTTTTTTTGGAAACTTCTTTCTTAGGCTCCAGTGACAGTATTCATCCATTTTTCTTTCTTCTCTGGAGATCCCTCTCTAATGGTGTTCTTTTTTTTTTTTTTAAGATTTTTTTAGTTGTAGAGGGACACAATACCTTTATTTATTTGTTTTTATTTTTATGTGGTGCCAGGGATGGAACCCAGTGCCTCACACATGCTAGGTAAGTGTTCTACCACTGAGCCACAACCCCAGCCCCTCTAATGGTGTTCTTTGGGGTTCTGTTCCAGCCCCTCTTCCTGCATGATCTCTTCCACTCCATGGCTTCAGTTACTTCCAATGTTTTGATGACTCACAAATACCTTTGGTCTAGATCCCTCTCTTGAGCTTCAAAATTATTTATCAAGCTGCTTACATCATTGTTTTCCAACCTTTTCCACATCATGGCACACATAGAAAATGATGGCATTTTCTATGCTGGATGATGCAGTCCAACACAATTAAGATTGCTTTGTCTCAGGGAGCTTGCACTGCCCTAAGAAGTGAGAGCAAAATGCAGCACATCTGTAAACTCTTTTTGAGGCATAATAGTTGGGAAGTTGATCTCTTGGATAGACATTTCTACTTGGATGTCCTCTAGGCATTTCAAAGTCAACATGTTTGGAAATAAGCATACCATTTCCAAAACCACCTCTTTCTCCAGCACTTTTGATTTCAGTGAGTAGCCCTACCATCTACAAATTATCCAAAGGTCTTAGCCTAGCTCTCCGCTTCCTTCCACTTCCAATCCCAAGGTCTGATGATTCTGCTATTATTTCTTTCTTCATCTTTAACCTCTGGTATTAGGAGTTGAACCCAGGTGCTTTGCCCCAGTCCTTATTTTATTTTGGGTTAGGGTCTTGCTAAATTGCTGAGGTTAGCCTTGAGCTTGTGATCTTCCTGCCTCAGCCTTCACTCAGCCTATTTATTTCTTGAAGTCATCTATCCATCACCTCTATCACTTTCCTAGTCCAGACCACATCATTTCTCACATTTCTCCTCAGTTTCTATAAAACCTTTCTCTCTGGTATCCCTGGCTTCAATTTTGCTCCCTGTTCTCTACACTGTAACCACAGTGATCTCTCCAAAATGCAAATCTGATTATGCCATCCCACTGTTTAAGTCACTCTAAAGGTTCTGCATTGCTCTTAGGATGATTCATATTGCTTACCTTTCCAATCTCGCTGCATATCCTATCCACATTACTTACCTAATACAATATGCACAGTGGCTGGCATAAAGGCTTAATTGTTTGGGGGAGGTTTTTTCTTGGGGGGTACCGGGGATTGAACGCAGCGACACCCAAACACTGAGCCACATCCCCAGCCCTATTTTGTACTTTATTTAGAGACAGGTTCTCACTGAGTTGCTTAGCACCTTGCCATTGCTGAGGCTGGCTTTGAACTTGTGATACTCCTGTTTCAGCCTCTCAAGTCACTGGGAACACAGGTGTGCACCACTGTGCTTGGCTCAGTTGTTTTTTGAAGGATAAAAAATGAAAAGCATTCAAGGATCGAGGCAGATCCATCATATCTATACCAGGTAAGAGGTTTTAAAGCACATATTGACAATACTGTCAGAATCCAAGGAACATGACTGTTCCATGTAGAATTAAGAAGTGCTAGCAACAATCTATTCCTTTGGCAAAAGAACCAAACATTAACTAGCTCCTTCCTTCCTCTTACTGAGCAAGAAATCCATCAAAATTGTGCCCATAAGTCAATCCAACTTGGTGAATAGCCAGTTTAAAATGTTTTGAGAAACAATTACTAACTTGACTGTCTTTTGATGCCATGATTTCTAAACTTGGGTCAGCTTATCAACCCGTGCAACCACTGTTACATTGCTATAATGTCATTTCTACTGAGGAGTAGAAATGCCCCAACACTAAAGGAACGACCATATAATACTGAAGTGGGAAATCCTATTCAAAGTACTGTCATGAGCAGTGAGGGGGTCATTTTAATAAGGAAGGGACAATATATGATTAGTGATATATAACATGGGTGGAGAACCAAATTTGGGACTCCTAATTTTTAATAATTTAAGTGAATAACAACACTGAGAATGAAAGTGTCTTAAGCCTCATCAAAAACAGAAAAGGAACACCACAGAGCAATGGTAGCTACATTTCTTTCTCCTGAAACTGAAGATGAAGGTTGTGAAGCATAGAAAATCTGCCAAAATCTAAATGCCTAATTTATCAAGTGTTAGTGTCTTTAAGGAGGGCAGGTACTTGCTCTGACAATACAGATTTTATCTGTTTACTCAACAAGGGCAAACATCTGAATGAAAAATAGGAAATCATCTAGATGTTCTACTTGCTTCCAAATATTCCGTTATTTGCAAACATTCAATGATAATTAGAAACGTGTGGCAGACTTTCATGGTTTTCCATCCCAAGGCTTAACATGCAAATAGAGTTAGATGGAGATTTTAAGCCTTTTGAGGAAAGGGCCATGTTTAATTTTTCTTATAATCCCAGGACTAGCCAACTGATCCCTATTCAATAAGTTGGATGACTGAATAGGAATTGATCAATGTTGTAGTGTTCCAAAGATACCATTATCTATAAACAGCACTTTTGATTTCAGTGAGTAGCCCTACCATCTACAAATTATCCAAAAGTCTTAGCCTAGCTCTCCGCTTCCTTCCACTTCCAATCCCAAGGTCTGATGAAATAAGGTGAAAAATAAATGAAAACATGTTCATAGAAAGATGTGTACTAGAATTTCTACAGCAGTCTTATTCATAATAGTCTGGAAGCACCCAAATATCCATCAACCAGAGAATGGAAAATATGAGTTGTGATATATTCATACAATGGAATATTAGTAACTAAAAAGAATAGACTACGGGTACGTGCAGATGTTTTTCAAAAACATTACTAAGCTAAATAACTTACTACTCTAAGTTTCCACTTATGTGAAAGAGAACAGACAAACTATGGTAATGAAATTCAAAATTGTCACGGAGGATGGTGGTAGGGTGATCAACTGTAAACACAAGAGAACTTTCTGAGATGGTTCAGTATCTTGTTTTGGGTGTTGATTACATAGGTTATATTATTGTTGAAATTTACTAAACAACATCTAAGATCTCTGCATTTTATTGCATGTTAAGATAAATCAATACAAAAAAATGTTAAGAAGCTGAGAGAATTTGTGAGGATAATCACCATGACCTCCATCCGTAACTGTCCTCAGATACTCTCTTCATCAAGTTAGTCCTATGCTCCAGAATCCAAAAATGACTTCTTTATCAACTTCATTCTTAATCTCCATGGAAAATCTGGGGAATTAACTTCTCCCTTTTCCCACCAAGGTAATCTGCTCACGGTCTCATCCAGATAATATGCTCTTTCCTATCAGAGTCTCCTCCTTTCATTACCCTGCCTAGATCCCACTCAAGTTCCCTCTGTCCTTCAAATTCCATTTTAAATAAGAAGTCTCTTTCAGAAAGGAGCTCTTAATTAATCCTAGCCAATTTGGGAACTCTATGTTCCCTCAGTTATTATGTTCCTTTATTGGACTAATATGATACTTTAAAGTCACATATATTTGCAACAAAAGCAATAAGCAAACAATGTCTAGTAATACCTTTCTATTTCCCTGCAGAACGCAATTTAGAATCTGAATATCCTGGCTAGTGCCCAGATGTGGGCTTGTGAGGATTATAAACTATCCAGACAATGATGTTTAATCAAGGACCAATAAGAACAGCAATGAAGGGAGCTCTAAGCCTCTATATTGGCCTGGTGTACTGTTTGACCTATTTCCTCTTTAAGCAGGTGGTTCAAACTGGTGCCCCTGCCCGTCCCCAATATAGTAAGTGACCCCAAACAAGGATGTATTCTTTTTGTGCACTTTGCCTGCTCTTAAGCTAGTAAGGAAACGGACAGGGCTGGGGATGTGGCTCAAGCGGTAGCACGCTGGCCTGGCATGCGTGCGGCCCGGGTTCCATCCTCAGCACCACATACAAACAAAGATGTTGTGTCCGCCGAAAACTAAAATAAATAAATAAATATTTTTTAAAAAAAGGAAACGGACAGCGCTGTTCACCCACAAGCAGAGCCATTTCCTAAGTGCCCAGTTTTCCAGACCACTGGGAAGATCCGATCCTCGAGGACGAAGAGAGAGGCACTTCGCACTTAAGGCCAAGGAAGAACTCAAGACTCTTCCCCTGAATTTACACCCAACACGTATGTAGGAAGGCAAAATTGCAAACACCAACGTTCACAACCACATACACACGTGCACGCCCAGCCCCACGAAAACCGACGCGCAAGCCCGTGGGCTCGCGCATACCTACTTAAGTTTTCTCTCTGCAGACGGCCCCATTCTACCCTGCTCGGCACAGCCCGGGGTTCCCGATGGCGACGCTGGGGAGGTGTGTAACAGGCCAAGGAAGGCCTGACGAGAGTGTTTCTCCATAGGGGGAGGGGAGGCCCTCCCCACCCGGGCGGAAGCGGCGCGCGCCGGCCGGGCAGACTTAGCTCTTGTCCTGGGAACATCTGGAGGAGGTGGGAGGGGTGCACATCCATGATGAACGCGGATTGGCTGCGCAGGACGAGGGAGGCGGAGTCTAGGCAAGGGGCGGGGTTCGCTGGCCCCTTTAAAGCCTTGACATCAAGAGGCGGCTCCGGCACCCCCCTTTCTCTGCCCCCCGCCCCCGAGCTGCGGCCATGGACCCAGCGGGTCCGGCCTGCCCTGGTCCAGCCCAACACCTGATTTCGGTGAGTTCCGGGCCTACTTGGGATTCAAAGGGCGGCAAGGTGGGAGAGTCTGTAAGCACTGGGCAGGGGGCTGGGGAGTGTGGAGGGTAAAGCTCTCGTGGCAGTTTTGGGTCGGAGAGGGCGTCACGGCTTCCTGCGCGTACCTTGCAGTGTGCCCCTCCCTCGCGCTGCACTCTCCCCAGGGGGTCTGGCTGCGACTCTGTCCACCCCCACCCCACCCCCTCCCGCCCCCTGCGCCATCCTCGCGCACACTCCGTGGCCCCGGAAGGGAAACTTTCGGGAGTGGGGGATGTTCCGGTGGCCTGCCTCCCTCCCGCTTCGAAAGCACTGACCTTGCCCCAGCTGCGTACTCTACCCAACCTAGGTCCCAAGGTCCGGGTGCTGCTTAGCGGTGCCAGGTTGTTTGGGGGGGAGTCTCCCCAAAGCGCAGGCGCGGAGACGAGCCTGGGGCTCCTCTTCGCACTTCTTCCAGTCCCCACAGCCTGGGGCGGTAGGGCGTGGGGGAGGCGGGGAAAGACGGAGAGACCTGGTGTCCCGGAACAGCCCTTCCGAAGCTTAAGGGGCTGCGGGAAGGAGGAGGGATCCTGGCGGGCAGCAAACAGAAGAAAAGCTGAGGGAGGGTGAAGGGTTGGGCCAGGATAGGGACCGGGCAGTCCCCGCAGAAAAGGCTCTCAGGGTCCTGGTTGCGGTGTCAAAAGAATGCAGAGAATCTGTGTCTCCCGTTCCCCTGGTCTAGTTAGCATAGAGCCCAAGAAAGTGGCTGGCCATCACCCTGTCTGCCTTCTTCTTATCCTGGGCCGAACCCCCTACGTTTCTCCAGCCTTGGCATTGCCCCAAGGGCATAGAGGGCCCTCACCTCTCATAGGCCTGGTTTTCCAGGCTGCTCAGACCTGTATCAGCCAAGCCCACCCAATCTGCCCAGCTGCTACTGGTGTCTTAGATTGAGGGGTTCCCTGGCTTTAGGGGCAATCCCTCTATTCCCTCCCTACCACTTCTCTGCCTCCCCCCTAAGGTCCTCCTGCCTAAGCACAATTGTCAGCCAGAGGAAATAGTTGTAGCCAGAGGCCTGGGGCAGGAGAGGTCTGGCAACAGAGAGGGGATCATTACTTTGGGGGAAAATGAATGTAGCCCAGTTGCCTTATTGCAGACCCTCTCTTAGAGACATTATGTCAGCTGGCTCTCTTGAGACCCCTTGTCTAGCCAGAAGGAAGACACAAAATTTACCTCTCAAATTCTTTCCCCCACCCTTTCCTAAAACCAACCTGGGTTTGGTTGAGTTTTCCACCCCAGAGAAACCATATATATTCCTGTCTAAGGGGTAATCCCAAGTAGTTCAATTTTGTTTTTAAGATCTGTGGTCTGTGCATTTGTGTCTCTGGTCCTTCAGCATCTTTCTCCAACTCAGGCCTTTGAGGGGAGAGTGAGAACCCAGAGAGGCCAATGTCTTGGCCGCAGGGGAGAAGGTATTTCATGATAGGCAAGTGGAAACCTGTGTGTATGGGGACTGAGCTGATACCAATATGGATGGAGAGGCCCATTGTGGTGCATGCCTGTAATCCCAGCAATTCAGGAGGCTCGGGCAGGAGGATCACAAATTTAGTGCCAGCTTGGGCAACTCAGAACCTGTCTCCAAAGAATTCTGAAAAGGGCCAGGGGTGTAGCTTGTTGGTAGAGCACCCCTCGGTTCAATCCCCAGTAATACACACAAAATACATAAATGAAGACACACATATACATATACTCTCTGAGAGAATCTTTGGGCCCTTCTCTTCCTATGGCCTTTCCAAGACAATTTCCCTCTCTGGGATTCAGTTTCCATCATTTTTTAAATTCGCCAGTGGGACTAGAAAGCTCTAAAATCCCCTTTTTGATACTGAATGATTATACTATTAGGCAACTCTAGAGGTGAGAATGGTCCTCTGGCAGGCTGGTTCCATTTAGAGAGCTAAGGTGTGAGGTGTCATAGTTGCTTAGGATTAGAACTAAGGTTAGAGAGGAGCAGACTCCCTTGTCCTGCCCAGGAATACTCGTTGTTCTGCTCACCCCTGGTGCCTTGGGATATGAACTCCTGCTTGGGTTTGGCCCACCCATCAAGGCCTGTGATGAGACATCTGGCTCAGCCAGTCTTTGAGTTGAACCTTTGGGGAGGGGTTGAGAGGAGGAGGCAGCCAAAGGCCAGCAGGGTAAGCAGATTCCCAGGAGACAGTTTGCATCTCAGCTGTTGGGACTTGTTTTAGGATCTGGGCCAGGAAGCATAGCACACTCATCTACCCTCTTATGGGAAAAGGGCAAAGAGGGCCCCACTGCTATTGCCCATCCCACCCCCTGACCCTACCCACTTCACCTCTGTGTACTTACCACCCCAGCTCCCAGGCAAGGGGCTGAATTTTCCCTGCTACCCTCACCTAGTCCAGCCAGCCTCCCAGGCCCTGCCATGCCAGCTCAACAGCTCCAGCAACAAGAAGCTGTCCCCCACCCCATCTTTCCCAGCCCCCTTGTCTCCTGTGGGTAAGGCTTTCTCAGGAGTCGGTTCTCTCCAGGTTGGGACTTGCTTTCCAGCTCAAGAGCCAAAAGGCCTTACGTTCTTGTTTGTTTTCATCTTTGGTCTCCCAGGTGAAGGGGAATGTTGAAGGAGAGGTGGTAGTTAGAGAGGCCTTCAGATTGGTTGAATATGAGGCATATTCTCCTGCATTGCTTTTCCCTCTGCTGGCTCTATTGAGCCTGGGAACCCCTCTCCCCTGTATATATGGGTGAAGCTGCAGCAGGAGGTATTTAGGTCAGACCCCAAGGAAACCTTCCTCACTGCTGGGAGCTCTTGAAATGGATAATGGAAGCTCCCAGGGAAGTCAGTTTCCCAGAAAGTGGCTAATGGTAGAGTCCCTGTCAGAGTGAAGGATGCAGCTGTTGCTAGGCAGAGGCTGATCTTCCTTCTTGGGGTGTGGCTCTGAGGCTGGCCAGCAGAGGCCCCGTTAGGAGCAGAAGGATAAAAGACCCTTGCCTGATTGCCAGAGCAGGGTCCCTAACCCCATCAGTCCTGGAACCCCAGAGCTGCATTTCTCAGAACAAATGCCCTTTCCCACTCTTGCTTCCCCCACCCTCTACCCACAAGTCACCATTACTACCACCGTCTGCTTTGACAACCCTCAATCGAAACTGGCAGGCTTCTCTAGCCTGTCTGGCTGTGCTAATGGACTGATTGGATTTTCTATACTTGGAGTTTGGGATTTCTGATTGAACATGCAAATTTATGTAAATCAATCTGAGATCTGCCACCACATCAAAACAATGTGGAGCTTCCACAGGCTGGAAGGAATCCTAGAGACAGTCTAGTCCAACGCCCTCAAGTTAAAAGTGGGGAAACTGAAGTCCAGAGGGGGAAATGATTCACATGGTGGTGAATGATGCAGTGGTGAATGTCAGTAGGACTCTTGACTCTGGCCTCTAGTTTTACATGGTTGCATTCTGCTGTAATTTTTCATTCATGAGAGAGCCTGGTTGTATTTTAAAGCAGAGAAGGCTAGTTATCGAATCTGGCACTTAGAGGGTCAGAATGTTATCCCAGGGCCCTCAGGGACTCTGGTTAGCTTTCTGACATACTGAAGAAAAAAAAAAACTTTAAATCCCTTAGAACAAGACCTGTAATATTTTCCCCTAGACACTGTCCTGAAGGGGTAGAGGATAAGGCCATTATTTGCTACTTGGCTTAGCACTTAACATTTGTCCTTGAGCTGAGATAAATTTCCAGTATCTGCCACAGTACTAGACACATAGTAGGCTATGGATGCATCTATATATGCAATGCCTCTGTCTTTATTCTTCCAAACTAATTTGGGTTTCTGCCACTTCCTTCTATGCTACAGTTTGATTCTGCTGCTTCTTTATCACTAAGAGCTTTGGTCTATTGACTTTTTGCCTAACCTTTCCATCCTTAGGCTTTTTTTTTTTTTTTTGCAAATTTCTAGGTTAGTGACCAGACAGACCTTGCTAAAGGAAAGAGCTTATTATTTTGGATCAATGCCAAAGATGAATGGAGGCTACAAAGATGAGCTGGGATCCCAAGAATAGTATTCCCACTTTTTTTTTTTTTTTTTTTTTAATGTCCTGTGGATTGAACCCAGAACTTTGGGCATGCAAGGAAGCCACTAAGCTAAAAGAACACTTCTTGATGTGCTCTTGATCTGATCCCCCTGCCCAGCTGCCAGGTGCTCTCTGCTTCCTCATCATGGAATGTGCCTGTAGTGTGGAGCTGTTCAAAGGACTGAGCCCTTGCTTAGCCTGTAATGCCTGAGAGTACCATAGAGATGGTGAGGATGCTCAGGCGGCCATTGACCGGCTTTGCCACACTCTGGGAAAGTGGTGCAGGAGCTCAAGAACTCCTGCCAAGGGCCTGGGGAAGGGACTTGGGACAAATGTCTGGGGTTTTCCTCACCTTCTCACCAAACCCAGATCTGAAATGAGTGCCCCTGTCTTCAGCATCTTCCCGAAATAGCAGGTGTGGCAGAGCCAGCACCTCTGGTTCCCCACTGGACAGCTCTCTTCCATACCTAGGTTCTTAGTTCTGTGCAAGGCAAGATCCTTCTCTCTGGACCTCAGTTTCTCAGCTAGTGCTCATGGATTAATAACACATCATCAATGGGGTGTGGCACCTGCTCCATAATTACCATTTTCCCAGCACTGGAAGTTATGTAGATGAAAGAGGCTCAAGGAGGCCAGGCTGTTATTAAGGTGAATTATCGTTGCTGTTATTACTGATTT